AGCACACAGTGGAAATGACATGAATATGACAGCGGGCAAATGCATAAAGCGGAGCATAATTTGAAATCACTAGTTTAAAGTTAGTCGATCGTGCATCTCCAGTCAAGAATAACTCTCCTCCTGTCAGCATTCAGTTTACACGGACCGACCGTCACGCAGAGAACACGCGATCATGCAGGATACACATGCACACTTCACAAGATCTCAACTAGATCCGACTAAGTCTGCAAGCTTTGTGAAATTAAATGTTCATTAGTCATTCAGATTTGTTTAAATTATATAAATGCGTATTTGCTGAATGCTGACGGCAAACGAGAAAGTATTATAGTGTTTGCCTTTCTATTACTAATAATATAAAAGCAATCGTTATAATACTTTTTGTATACATTTTAATTCCTTTGTTTAACCGTTCTATCTGATTATTAGACAGACTTCTATCCGTATTAGACAGAACTGTTAATGACAACAGCGAACAAGACGGAGAATGTCAGCACTGTGCTCAGGCGCTGCCGCTGTCAAAATAAAAGTCAGTCGCGCCGGCAAAATAAAAGTCCCGCCTCGAACGCATCGGCCAAACAGGAAAACTTATCGGCTGATGCCGATATTTTAAAAATGCCAAATATTGGCCGATATATCGGTCCACCACTAATTTTGACAATTTTTGTGTGAATTTGTCCATTTAAACAAAATACTTCAGAGAGAGCTTAATATTTGGGCGTGTTCTGAGGCGTTTAAACACAGATATCAACGTGTGCTGTTCAGGTCTCACCTATGCGTGCGCGCGCTATCAGCACCCGGGTGATGACGGAATAAATGCTCATATTCCAGCATACGGCATTCGCATTGAACAAGAGTGAATGGTTTGTCCACGTTTTTTTTTTTTTTCTCATCGTTGTTGTTGTAATGTATTGGGAAGCCAGAATGCGCATCCATCAACAGAAACATATTAGCTGAATCTTGATTGTTTTACGTGTTATTTATAGCAAACCATATTACAGATGCATTTTTTCCGCAAACTGTTCCACTTTTGTTCCGCAAACTGTTCCAAACTGTTCCGCAAACTGTCATCGTTAACGCATGCGATTAATTTTACAATCCTTGACGCGTTAAAATAATTTAACGCAATTAACGCACAATTTCTATTCTAACCCTTTAACCCAATTTTGCTACTCTGCTTGCGATTAGATTATTTTAAACCACTAAACTCCGGGAAAATTTTCAGTCCAATGATCCAGTAAGCGAATGCATTCAAACAATCCGTCCAAAACAGCGCTAATATAAAGGAAACCAAGCTGATTACATCAGAGATTGCAGAGAGAACAGAAACTCGCGTTGCGTTTTCAGTGAATTATTCATTCCAGTGTGTTTGGCTTTTAAACACGAGCTTTGTCATATTCTGTGATTGTCTCTGAAGAGCGCGAGCCCTCACACGTCACA